GGGCTGTCGCCTGGCTGATTTCCCTGGGGCAGGCTCGCCCCTGCCCTGGTAGAGCCGGTAATCCCTGCCCCTCCATCAGGCCGCCCTTCAGTGGCTATAGGTGGACTGAACCAGCTGGCGTGAGAGGAGTTGAGTGCAACGCGGTAGGTCAAAGCCCAAGTCGCGCTAAGCCTGCCCAGCCTGCAGGGTGCTGAAAACCACTTCCACTGAGCCCTCCAGCCACGTTGGCCTCAGAATGTGTGTGCACCCGGTTCCTTGGAATGGCGCTGCTACATACCTTGGGCAGCACACCCCCGATGCTCTCAGACCTCCACCTGTAGCACCACCACCATACAACACGCGTTGACCTGACTTTGCCTTCCTCCCTGTCTCCACTTAATTACCAATTAATCAGCGTGGCCTTCCTGACTCCCCACCCCACTTTCTGCTCTGCCCCTCTCATTTGCTACACTTAACACAATTGTAATTATATACTTCTCTGGGCAGTGATTTAATATCTTTTTTCCCTTCCTTAGGCTGGTGCTAAAGGTATTTGGATACCGCTCCATGCAGGGAGACCACCGGATGATACACTCTGCCAGCACCAAATACCTCATGGGAGATGGCTTGGAGGATCTCAACAAAACCATGCTGGACAGCCTGTCCTTGGTTTTGCAGGGGCTCACGGGCCAGAGTCTGGATGCTAATTGCTGGCGTGAAGATGGCCTCTTCCACTTCTGCTACAACGTGTTGTTCAAGGCCGGCTACCTGAGCTTATTTGGCTATACAAAGAACCAGGAGCAGGACCTGCTACAGGCAGAAGAGTTATTTGTCCAGTTCCGCAAGTTTGATCGCTTGTTCCCCAGGTTTGTTTATTCCTTACTGGGGCCCCGGGAGTGGCTGGAAGTGGGCAGACTGCAGCGTCTCTTCCACAAGACACTCTGTGAACCACAACCTGGAGAAGAATGGCATAAGCAACTGGATATCCCACATGCTTCAGTTTCTGAGGGAGTGGGGAACAGCAGGGTCCAGATACATCTCATTCAAGGTTGGTTATAGCAGAATTTCTGGCAATAGGTGCCCAGTACATATCTGTTGGACGGATATATGGGGCTGTTCCAAAGAAGGAGGGAATGAAATGAATCAAGGTAAGAATGAATGTAACATGGTGCTCCCATCCATTAAAAACTGGGGAACAAAGTTCAGCTTATGCATGTTGGCCCACAGATAGTTTCTGACTGCAGATTCTAAGGCTGGGGAGAGTTGATGATTCTGAGTAATTGCTGTGGTTGCCCTAAGCAATCAGAGAGAGGACTTCATGGAGGCAGAATGTGTACATATCCAGCTCCCTGCAAAGAGGAGCAGCACAAGGCAAGGGGGGCTCACTCAAGAGGTCATGTGGAAATCGGAGGAGACAAAGTCCCTGTTTGCAAGTCACTTAGGAAGTTAAAGAGTAACCTGAGGTCGCCAGAACTGGATGAGTTGATCCTGAACCTCACCTTATTGCAACAATGGCCTTAGAATCAATGGCAGAACTTTCTCTTTCCTGGGCCTGCAGACAGGGACCTAGCCTGACATCTAGCAGAAAGCCCCCAGTAAATGGTCAGCTCACCTCACTCAAGCCAGGACAGCAGTTAAAGAAAGTTCCCACTATACTCTGAGCCTACACTCTAATCATGAAACAAAGGGATTGCTTTGAAGTCCTTATCATCTCTGACATTTCATAATTCCAAGATTCCGACTCTGTCTTTCTTGGTAGAGCAGTGCGCAAACCAACTAGGCCAGAGATAGGGCTCCAGTCCAGAGGCTCAGGGATGGTAGAAACTTTTTAAATTTAATTTAACTAATTTATTTATTTATTTATTTATTTATTTATTTATTTATTTATTTACAATGGAGGAGGGACAGAGAGACAGGGAGAGAGAGAGAATCCCAAGCAGGCTCCATACTGTCAGTGCAAAGCCCAATGCAGAGCTCGAATTCATGAACGGTGAGATCGTGACCTGAGCCAATATCAGGAGTCAGATGCTTAACTGACCGGGACATCCCTAAATGTGAAACTTAATAAATGAGTGTTGCATTTCTCACTCAGTAGCTAGAGGGCTAGCAAACTGATGAATAAATGAATCCTTGAGAAAATAAAGGTGGAAATGGTCAGTAAATCATGGGGGGGTGCCGGGGGCGGATCCATGAGAGGTTTGTAGACATCATGCTGGGGCTGAGTCTAAAAAGATTACAGCAAAGCCTAAGCTGGTGAGGAGAGGCTTCTTTCTTGGCTTCCTTCTGGTCCCACCCTCTACTTCCACATGACTAGGTTGCAGCAAGTGCTAAATCTAGAACATTTTACTCCTATGTACTATCTTGCCAGGGTATTTTAGTATAACTTACCAGGGCAAGGTTCAGGTCCACCCCCAGCTTGTCAGGGCCTCTCAAAAGCTCTCGGTCGCCCAGAGAACAGTGTGCCTGGAGGAAATCAGCCTGGAAAAGCACAGCCATGGTGCTCTGGGCTCTGGTGCTGGGAGCACTACTGGTGGCTACAGTGGGGTGCCTGTGCCTGGTGGGGCTGTTCCGGCAACGCAAACCCCAGGAGCCCCCTCTGGATAAGGGCTCCATACCTTGGCTGGGCCATGCCATGGCTTTCCGGAAGAATATGCTTGAATTTCTGAAATGTATGCGGGCCAAGCATGGAGATGTGTTCACAGTGCAGCTAGGGGGCCGGTACTTCACCTTTGTCATGGACCCCCTCTCCTTTGGCCCCATCCTCAAGGATGCACAGAGAAAACTAGACTTTGTGGAATATGCAGAAAAACTGGTACTAAAGGTATTTGGATACCGCTCCATGCAGGGAGACCACCGGATGATACACTCTGCCAGCACCAAATACCTCATGGGAGATGGCTTGGAGGATCTCAACAAAACCATGCTGGACAGCCTGTCCTTGGTTTTGCAGGGGCTCACGGGCCAGAGTCTGGATGCTAATTGCTGGCGTGAAGATGGCCTCTTCCACTTCTGCTACAACGTGTTGTTCAAGGCCGGCTACCTGAGCTTATTTGGCTATACAAAGAACCAGGAGCAGGACCTGCTACAGGCAGAAGAGTTATTTGTCCAGTTCCGCAAGTTTGATCGCTTGTTCCCCAGGTTTGTTTATTCCTTACTGGGGCCCCGGGAGTGGCTGGAAGTGGGCAGACTGCAGCGTCTCTTCCACAAGACACTCTCTGTGAACCACAACCTGGAGAAGAATGGCATAAGCAACTGGATATCCCACATGCTTCAGTTTCTGAGGGAGCAGGGAACAGCCCCAGCCATGCAAGACAAATTCAACTTCATGATGCTCTGGGCCTCCCAGGGTAACACGGGGCCTACCTCCTTCTGGGCCCTTTTGTTTCTCCTAAAGCACCCAGAAGCCATGCGTGCTGTGAGGGAGGAGGCCGCCCAAGTCCTGGGGGAGGCCAAGCTGAAGGCTAGGCAATCCTTTGACTTTGAGATCAGTGCCCTACACCACACTCCAGTGCTGGACAGCGTGATGGAAGAGACACTGCGGCTTGGGGCTGCACCCACCCTCCTCAGGGTGGTGCACGGTGACCATATGCTGAAGATGGCCAGTGGACAGGAGTACTTGCTCCGTGGTGGAGACATTGTCGCTCTCTTCCCTTATCTTTCAGTGCACATGGATCCTGACATCCACCCAGAACCCACTGCCTTCAAGTACAATCGCTTCCTCAACCCCAATGGTAGTCGTAAGGTGGACTTCTACAAGGCAGGCAAGAAGATCCACCACTATACCATGCCGTGGGGCTCGGGTGTCTCCATCTGCCCTGGGAGGTTCTTGGCCATCAGTGAGATGAAGCTCTTTGTCCTGCTCATGGTCACCTACTTTGACCTGGAACTGGTGGACCCTGATATACCTGTGCCACCTGTGGACCCCCAGCGCTGGGGCTTCGGCACCACCCAGCCCAGCTATGAGGTGCGCTTCCGCTACCGCATGCATCCTACCGAGTGAGCTCTGCCAAGGTGGCCACAAGCCTGGCCAGGGAGACCCCAAGGGAGCCTCCTCTCACCCCTCTGAAGCCGCCTCACCCTTCCCTCTGGTTCTGTGATATCTCCTGCCTGTGTCCTGCTTGCCTTCCTTGCTCTCTGGCTTTCCTCTAGCTTCCTGATAGGTTTGTCTTTTTCTCTTAAAAACATCTCTCACAGTGGGTTCTGCAGAACCTTCCTCTCATACGAAGTCCAGGGGAAGGGGGAAATATTTGAGAGAAACTTAGTTGGGGAAATAATGGCGTACCTTGACAAGTCCTGCAGTAGAGAAAGTGGTTACCATGAGTAACACAGTGTCTTACAAATGTTAACCTCCACCCTCCCACCTCACTATCTTATTTTCCTCAATGCTTATTCCACATCCTGTGGAATTCACATTCATCCAAAGAAATACAAGGCAAGCCACGTGTGTAATTTTTAATTTCTTAGTTGACATGTTTTTTAGAAGATAAAAAGAAACAGGTGAAGTTCATGTTTATAATATACTTAACTTAGCCCAATATATCAAAATATTAGCATATCAATATAAGAACATTAGTAAAATATACATATATAAGAATATTGTGAAATATTTTTACATTTCTGTGTGTGTGTGTGTGTGTTGCCTTCAAAATCTGGTATGTACTCTTTCCCTTTGCCATGTGTCTCACTTTAGACTAGCCATATTCTAGTGCTCAACAGCCACAGGTGGCTAGTGGCTCCCCAATTGGATAGGCCAGGTCTGAAGAAACGCTGCCTTTCACATAGGAGTTATTCAAGGCCCCTCCTCAGTACCCTTGTCTCCCCTCCACACTCCCACCTTAGGGTGTTCTCAACCCTTCCTGTGGTTTCCACAATTACTGCTGAGTTCAGAGCTCTCTCTTACTTCCAGACCCTCAATCTCCCCGCCAGGGTCCCACGGCACTTCTGGGTGTGGCCCACGCAGAACTCAGCACCTGTCTCCCCACCTCTGCCCTGAACCACCTCCTTCTCCAGATTACCCTGCCTGCCTCTGCTCAGGACACCACCACCCCCTCCCCCAAGACAGATCTGGAGGAGAAATCTGACTTCCTCCCCACTGTCACCCACATACAGTCAGGCCCCAGTTCTGCCAGTATGACACCCCCCCCCCCGTCGTGCCTCTGAAACTGTCTCCTTTCCCCAGCCCCACTGCCATTCCTAGGACTGAGCACTCTGCATGTCTGCACCCCAGGCAAAGATGTTCACCCTGCTGCCAGAGACCTTTCACCAGACCTTTCACTTGTCATACTTTCACTTTTCTGGTTCCCCATCCCCTCCGTGAACCTAACATTTAAATTTTGCCACAGTTGGTCCCCAAATATTCAATCCAATGCATTTCAGCCTTGCCAACTTTCTCCAATGGAACTGTCTGGAAAGTAATTGCTTGCTTTTTACTGCCAACCCCAGTGCCAGCTACTTCAGGAGGCCTTCCTGGATGTTACCCATTCCATCCTCTGGCCAGAAATGGGCTCCCTCCCTCTGAGGCTCCCCTGGAATGGCTTGTGTCCCAGCACATCTGTTACATGTTGTTGCTCTCAGTTTCCTGCTTTCCTCCTCCTACCCCATCCCCTGGACTGTAGCCCACAGGGCTTGGTATCTTATTACTTCATCCCTGAACCCCAGTTCCCTAAATGGAGATTAAATGATAGAAAATTGGCTCTGTCTCAGCTACTTTACTTCATGTCGTCAAATCATTTCCTTCCCCTCCCTGGCCTCACTCAGCTTCCTGGCATATGACATGGAGACAGTCCCGCTGCCAGGCATGCCTACCAGGGCTCCAAGTGCTGCTTCCAGAGCCACAGCTGGCTGATGGAAGGGCCCTGGCTGGGGCTGGGACAGGAGGGACTGTGACTGTGGGAGCCCACAGAGGGTCCTGGAGAAGGGAGGCCAGGCAGCAGAGACCCCCTGCAAGGATGCCCAGTGGGCTTCTCTCTACTCACCTATCCCAAATCTATGACTGGCCTCTTGCATTTTTTTGAGGCTGGCTGTTCTGCCCTGAGTTTTTCCAAGATACCAGGCTATTAGAGTAACTCTGGCAGGGGCTGGGGTCTGGAGGCAGGAGTCTGTCCCTACTAGCTATGTGACAGAGGCCAAGGTCTAGCTGCCCCAAAATGATGACATCTGTCTGGAGCCTGACAGAGCTCTGACTACCTTGGAGAAGCCAGGATATCCTAACCTATTCCACAAGGAGCCAGGAGCACAAGAAGAGACACACAGGGAGAATGGGAGAGGGAGAAGGGGCCTGAGAGGCTGGGAGCCACCGCAGGAAGCTTATCAATGACCTCCCCACACAGCCAGGCCCTGTGCCAGAGCAGGTATTGAGATACGGATGGGCAAAGATGCAGGGCCTTCACACACCTCCTGGGTACTGCTCAGATGTAGGTGCTACACCCCCTCATTTTCCCTATACCCAAAGAAATCTGGCCTGTCAACAGGCTGGGGGGCAGGACTGAGGGCCTAAATCCATTGAGTCAAGACCAAGAGGTCTCAACTGAGAGTGATCTCCCAGGCACTCCATGTTTGAGGGTATGCCTGGGACCAAGGGAAGCCTCAGTGGGTCAGGGGCAGTATACAGTGCCACAGTCATGGACATCCACCCTAACAGGCCTCCCCGGAAGCAGTGAGATCCCAGGATTAGAGTGTGCATGTAGAGGCCACTGCCCACCTGCGGGCACAGGAGGGGCCCATAGCACCTGTAGTCCCACGCCCCTTGCATGGGGACTGGACACACTCTCTGCGAGGGCCTTGAGGCAGTAGGAAGACTGAGACCCCTAAGGATACATCTAGTCACTGCCTGTCCTGACACAACAATCCTGACCCCCAAATCCTCACTTCTGCACCAAATTTTCTGTCCTTCAAAGAAAAGCCCACTATGTATATCCTCTGAGGACAGCTTGTAACAAAGCAAGATCAGGGATGGCATGCCAATGGTGGAATTGCAGGCACCTGGGAAAGAAAAAAAACATTTTTCCCCATAGGCAGTAACAGCTGTAAACCCTCAAACCACATTTCACAGGGTAGAGGCAGAGCCATGCCTGTCCCTCTCCCTGGGCCAGCCAGGGGAGGAGTCCATCTTGTCGCAGAGTCTGAGGACCAAGAGAATCCTGGGAGCTTTCCTGGAAAGATGTGAGCAGTGTAGCCAGCGAGCCAGGCCTGTGGGTCAGCAGACGGAGAGCAGCAGGAGGAACCGAGGTCCAGGCTGGGAAGTAAGGTCGGGATGAAGAGGTCTCTGGCCTGGCCTGGGCTCTGAGAGCCCAGCTCCAACTCGCTCCCTGACCAGTGCCTTCTGTGCTGTAGTCAGAGCCCTCGCTATGGTCAGCTGCAGTACATGGCAACTAGGACAGTGAAAGGGATCGATGGGTCACCGGTGACCAGTCCTTCCCCTCCCCCTTGAGCACAGGCTTCAGGGCACTTCTTATATACCTGTTGTTTGCAGAGCACATACCCACACTTACACAGCTAAAGAAAGACACATAGGAACACACAGACACAAGGCCCATGGGGACACAGTGACATGTTCATGTCAGATCCACAGACAGCTGTATGTACTATGCACAACCCACACAGCAACACAGACAGATGCACATCGACATCCCCCCACCACACACACACACACACACATCTTCCAGTGCTGGGGATAAGCCCTGATAGGTGTCCCTTGGCTGGCATACCTCACCCATCTCATCTATGCATCATGGATATGATGTCAGAGACTAGGGGTACCTAGACCCAGTTGGTACAGCTCAGGCTGTATCCCACCAGTCAGGCTGCTATGTGGGCATGACTGAGGTCCCTTGTGGGCCAGATTTTATGAGCTCTAAAACAGAACCCCAACCCCCACATTCTCAGATGAATCACCACCTTCAGGTACAGAGCTTCATTTCTCAGGGCACCAGGGGAGCTCAGAGTCCTTCCTAACCATGGGACTTGGGGGCCTTAGGAGAGAGAGCTAGAGAACAAGGCTGAGGGGACAGCTGGCCAAAAAATGATCCCTGTTACACAGGAGAATGGGCCAGCAAAAAACACAGAGGTGGGAATGTGCAAGAGACAAGGGGTGCCCGGTGTCCAGGAAATGAAAAGGAATGAAAGAGTATAAGGGTAAGACAGTGTGTGGGATTCCACATGTGAGAGCTCCAGCCCTGAAGCCAGACAAAAGTTTTAGACTTGATTGTTCAGGCTCCAGTGACCCTGGAAGGCTCCAGAGTGGGGAATGGGAAGCACTGGGAGGAAGATCCTCCTGGGCTGCCAGGAACCTGTGTGCACTTAGCCTCCCACCTGCTGACTCTCACGTTTCTGGTAAGTTCCCCAGGTGGGGCACTGCCAGGCCTCCTGGGTCCCCAGAGCCTTGGTGCTGCCATCAAGGCTCTGACATTAAACAATATTGCAACAATATTTTCCCAGCTGAGCTACAGGAAAGAGAGCACCCTGGTGGGTGGCAAGCCTTGGGCTACGCTGAGGCAAATGGGAGTGATGGCTGAGGGTGGGTGATCATTCTGGCTGCTGGGAGCAGATTAGAAGACAGGACACAGCATGACAATAAGAAGCATAAAGGTCAGTCAGTTAGGACACTACTGTAGCAATTCATGCAAGAGAGTATGGTTTCCTGGAAGGCAATAAAGAAAGTGAAAGGAAGAGGCAGGGGTAAGTAAATGCTGCTGATGGTTGAGACCTGAGAACTGACCACTGGGTTTGGCAACATGGTCCATGAGGCCCTTGAAAAGACGACTTTGGGTGGATGCCCAACTGAGCCGGGTCCCACCCACTCTCACCAGACTGTGGTATGGCTACTCAAGCTTCATTTTTCCCTGTATCACTCTTGTCGGGGGAGTGCTCAGCCTGCCTCTCCCCAAGGTCATTCATGCCAGTCATTTCTTCTTGGGCAGTGAGCCTGCTGCTCTCAGAACAGCTGGACAGGGGGGCCTGTGCAGGGCAAGGTGCCTGGTTGCGTCGGAGCACAGTGATGAGGAAAGCCTTTAGGTACTGGCGGAAGTGGCGGCTGGAGAAAGCATAGAGAATGGGAGTGAAGCAGCAGTGAAGGAAGGCAATGCTCTCCGTCACCTGCAGTGCATAGTCCAAGTGCTGACTCACCTTGCAGTCCCCAAAGATTTGCAGGTCCAACAGTGAGTGCAGAAACAAGGTGATGTTGTATGGGAACCACAGCACAAAGAAGGCCACCACCAGGGCTATGACTATCTTGAGAGCCCGGCCCTGGCCTGGGGGCCTCAGCCGGACCAGCACAGAGCCAATGCGGGAGTAGAAGAAAATCATGATAAGGAGTGGAAGGAGAAACCCCAGGAGGTTCTGCTGGAAACGGAGGAAGAGCTTCCACTTGGTCCCATGTCCCCCGAAATCTGCATAGCAGTTCCACACGCCCGTGGGGTTTTCATGTGTCTTCACAAAGACCATGTCAGGGATGGAGACAGCCAGGGCCACAGTCCATACCATGGCAGCCAGGAGCAGGCTTTTGGCCCGGGTCCGCAGCCTGTGGTGGGGCTGAGTGTGAACAATCTCCAGGTACTTGTCCAGGCTCATGCAGCTAATGAAGAAGATGCCACTGTAGAAGTTGATGGTGTAGAGGGTGCTCACCGTCTTGCATAAGAAACTCCCAAAGACCCAATGCCAGGCCACAGAGATGCCCCAAAAAGGCAGTGTCACCACAAACAGGAGGTTGGAGATGGCCAGGTTCAGCAGATAGACCTCAGTCATCCGCCTGCGAGGCATGTACCGGAGCAAGACCACTAGCAGAAAGAGGTTTCCGCCCAAACCCAGCACAAAGATGAGGCTGTAGAAGACTGGCAGGAAGATCCTGCCAAAGGACATCACCTCATCCTTCCGGCAGAGCATGAAGGCCACGCTGTCCAGGTAGTACTCATAGTCATAGAAGGAGCTGCTGTTCTCAGAACTGGCAACCTTAGTGGTAGGTGGCAGAGGGGAGGTGGTGGAGGCCATGTTAGGAGGACACGCCCAGCTCTGGAGCTCTGTGGACCAGAGTACAGGGAGATAGAAGTTAGATGAAACCAGGCATTCTCTACCTCTCTCCAAACCCACTTTTGCTACTGTGCTGGGAGGCCCAACAGACTCTTCCCATCAACCCCAGTACCTGTAGGTCAGCGAGGAAGAGCACAAGTGTGGGGATTCTGAGCCTACCACTGATAGTCATATCACTCTGGGTGAGTAGCTTAACCTCAGATGTTCTCATAGTACTCACTTATTTCATTATGGCTTCTCCTCATTATTTTCTCCTTCACTTGATCTTAGCCAAAAGACCAAGAAGCGATTTTTATTTTCTCCTTCATCATTTTTTAAATGATGAATTGATAAGACCCAGCAATTGCACTAAGTATTTATCCAAGGGATACAGGAATGCTGTTTCAAAGGGGTACAGGCACCCCAATGTTTATAGAAGCCCTATAGACAATAGCCAAAGTATGGAAAGAGCCCCGATGCCCATTGACAGATGAATGGATAAAGAAGATGTGGTTTATATATACAATGGAATATTACTCCGTGATCAAAAAGAATGAAATCTTGCCATCTGCAATTATGTGGATGGAACTAGAGTGTATTATGCTAAGCTAAATTTAGTCAGAGAAAGACAAATATCATATGACTTCACTCATTGGTGGAATTTAAGATTCAAAACAGATAAGATGAGGGAAGGGAAGCAAAAACAATATAAAAACAGGGAGGGGGACAAAACATAAGAGACTTTTAAATACAGAGAAAAAACTGAGAGTTGCTGGAGGGGTAGTGAGTAGGGGATGGGATAAATGGCTGATGGGCATTAAGGAAGACACACTGGATTCTACTCCTGAAATCATTATTGCACAATATGCTAACTAACTTCGATTTAAGTTTAAAAAGTAATAAAAATTTTAAAAAAGAACTGATAACATCTTTCAGATTTTTCTTTATTACTTATAGAATACCAACTCAGAGTTGTATTGTTTCTCCATACTCTTCCTCATGTGTGTCTTTTGATTTTTTTTAACAAATTCTTCTCTTTAGTGGGACTTGTTTTACCCACAAATGCCTAGTGTGTCCACTCTGGCTTTTAATTTTTTGTATCTCTATCACCTAAGGATTTCCCTTGCTTTTGTTATTTTAAAAATATTTTATGTAAAAATATTTAGTTTTATATTAATATTTTTATTTATAAATATTTAATATTTTAAAAATATTTTATGCAATATATCTAGGTTTGTAGCAAAAAGGTGTGGGCCATCACACTGAAAGACTCAGAACCTACTAAACCTTTCCATCCCTCAGTTTCCCCATCTGCAAAATGATGATGATGATGATGATGATAATAATAATAGTGCCTACTTCATGGGGTTCTTGTGAGATTTAAATATTATCATTTACTTCAGAGCATTCCCCACTCCATGAAGAATTCCCAGAACACAGTAGGCCCTCAATAAATGTTAGCTTAAAATATTGCTTTGTTGAGAACTGAGTCTATCATCTCCCCCCCAGCCTCTTCTCCTCTCCTGCATCTACCTAGCTGAACGACACCACCTACTCCATCTCCTAAGACTGAAACATAGGAGATGTCCCGGATTCCTTCCTCACCCCCTCACCACCATCCTGTGAGTCTCTACCTCCTTACTGCCTCTTGAACATGTCCAACATTTCTAAGACCCATAAAAATATGTACATGATATTCTTTTAATAGAATTAAAACAAATGAAACAAAAATACTTGGAAGGAATTCAAAGAGATGAATGGGAAAGCACGGGAATGATAGGCTCAGCATTCAAGATGGTGGCTGCCTGGGCAGAAGCTGGAAGCATGGAGTGACAGCAGGTCAGTGTCTGTGTCAAGTTCTCTCAGAGCACTGGTTTCCCAGGTTTTAACTGTATTATTAAAAATAATTTTTAAGGGGTGCCTGTGTGGCTCAGTTTGTTGAGCTCAGGTCATGGTCCCAAGGTCATGGGCTCTGAGCCGGGAGTGGAATCTGCTTAAGATTCTCTCTCTCTCTCTCTCTCTCTCTCTCTCTCTCTCTCTCTCTTTCTCTCTCTCTCCCTCCCTCCCTCCCTGCCCTTTCCCTGCTCATATGTGCATGCTCACTCTCTCAGAAAAAAATAAGAATAATTTTTAAGAGAGAGCTTCACATGAACCAGGGATAAGAATTATACTCAATTTTGTTGTGTGTTCCAGAAGACAGACTTCATGTTCAACACATTAGATTGTTCACCAGTGAAGAGCAAGGTTTTGGAGGAGAGAGGTAGGAGATAAAAAAGAATACATAACTCCAGGAGCAGTCACGCACGGCCTCCAGAATGGAACTGGTGATAATGGTTCATAAACCAAGAAACACAAATCAAGTCCACTTTGTACCTTTGTGTTTTATTTTTTATTATTTGATTAAAGTGAGGCTGAACTTTTTAATATGTTCAATGCCAGTTTGTATTTCTTTTGTGAATAATTTATTGTTTTAATGGGTTGGACTCTCATTTTATAAGAGGTTTTATATGGTAAGGATTTAGCTTTTTACATGTACATTGCAAACATTTCCCCCAGTCCTTCCTGGAAGAAGTTTTGTCTATGCTTTTTCCAGGTAGAATTCTGAAGGAAATGTTGACTGAGGCCCTCAGCTGACCCTGCTAAGTATCCACAACATTGGGACCTCACAGCTGATGGAAATATACAATGCTGCTGAGGCAGAAGCTCTTCCAGGCAGTCCCTGGAGTCCTCCTGCTCATTAAGCCTCTGCACCACCCTTGGTTTCTGTTAAATTCTGTTTCTGTTAAATTCTGTTAAAATTCCTGTTAAATGGAATCTGGGCCAGATATTGGGGAAGTCACACACATGCCCTGTCCCCATCTAGGAGCTCAGCCGGGGTAGCTTTATATACGGTTGGGCTCCTGACTGACCTCAGGAACTTCACCCCGTGCCTTCCTTTCGTGGTCCTCCATTCCCTTCCTATGCATCTGGGGTCTGCTGTGCCTGAGCCCCTCCCTTTCCTGGGCAGCAGTAAGGATGCCCCCAGCACATGCCTGGTAGTAAGAGTCCATGAGCTGCTGGAGGTGGGAGAAGGGAGTACTCTTCTACACTTGGGCCTGACTAGGGATTTATTTTTTAATACATATTTTTATTTTGGGGAGAGTACAAGTGAGGAAGGGGCAGAGAGAGGGGGACAGAGGATCTGAAGCAGGCTCTGTGCTGACAGGCTGATAGCAGCAAGCTGGATGTGGGGCTTGATCTCATGAACTGTGAGATCATGACCTGAGCTGAAGCCAGATGCTCAACCACTCATTGAGCAACCCAGGTGCCCCTTAGGGATTATTAATCAGAAGTTGTCACTAATTAAATATCGGCCCTTCTGGTCCAGCATTACTGACGTTGATCTTGACCTGGGATCTCAAAGTCCCCACTTTAACAAACAACTGAGTCCAATGATTGCTTTGATCAAAGCCAGAGTCAGGGTCAGCAGTTTCCAGTCTGGCCCAGGCCACCTTTACAAGGCTCCTTCCAACTGAAACACTGTTCCCTTCCCTCTCTTGGTCTCTGGCCTCCTGATCTTTCACTCTGGGAATCTTTCCAAATCTTCTTGACCTCTGGTACCACCGGCCCTTCCCGTAACTCTCCTCAATAATCCCAACAACAAGGACAGCAGCAGGGAGCACCCCATGTGCATGTGATAATTGGTCAGGCACCTTCACAGCCACTGTGGCCAGCCTGTAAGGCAAATCAGGAAGGAACTGTCAGCCCCATTTATTCCAGGAGGGGAGCACTTTTCCACCATCACATAGCTGAACTGCATCTGAATCCCAGGTTTTAAACTCTAGAAACAGGGCCTTGACCCTGGTACCCTCTCACCCCCCATCCTCTGTTTTGCCCAACCCACAGTCACCAAAAGGGGCCACTTGAGAAATGTATGATTTGGTCTCAGGGGTTCTTGAATGCCCAGGATACTGCCCTCAGTGGCTAGTCTACCCTTTGTAGATTTCACTATTGATACCCCCAAGGCTTTATTGAGCCTCCTTGTGAAACACAGTCTTTCTATGGTCAACAGAATAATAGCCTCCCAATGATATCCACTTCCTAATCCCTAACACCTGTGAATATATTACCTGCTATATCAAAAGCGACTTCACAGATGTGATCAAGACAGGCCCAATAATCACAAGGGTCCTTATAAGAGGGACAAAAGAGTGTCCAAATCAGAGAAGGAGAGTGAGGGTGGAAACAGAGGTCGGAGCAATGCAGTTACAAGACAAAGAATGAAGGCAGCCTCTAGAAGGTAGAAAAGGCAAGGAACAGATCCTCGCTGAGCTTCCAGAAGAAATGTAGCCCTGCTGACCCTTTTTAGACTTCTGACCTCTAGAACTTTGAGATAGTAAATGTGTGTTGTTTTAAGCCACTGAGTTTGAGGCGATTTAATACAGTGACAATAGGTAATACACTTCCTGTGACCCTCTGCACTTTCGGTATCTCAGACTGAGGGAGTGAGATACCCTTCCCTCAGGTTACAGGTGGGGAACGTGGGACTCAAAGAAGGCGAACAACTTGTGCAGAGCATACAGTGAGTGATCAGTGGCCACGCTGAGCCATGGTCCCCATGTTCCTGACTGCCTTTCAGGGAACACCTGTCCCTCTGGACTCACTCGATTTTTTTTTTTCTTTTCACTTTTTCTTATTGCCTGAATTCATTTGGTGTATCCAGCAATACCTTGAGAGGAATAAAGGAGGGTATCAGTTGTTCACATCCTAGTATGAATTAGCAGTAGGAAGTTATACAGTAGAACCTTTGGGGGAATCTAGGAACTATCTAGAAAGGGAGGATTTCAAGAGGAGGGACAACAAGGGCAAGGTGAGCAGAGCTTCCCATACATTAGAGACAAGGGCACAAAGGCAAACTACTGCTTGTCTCTGGAGCAGTAACATCACCCTCTTTGTGACTTCCTGAGGCTGTTGTCCTGTGCTGGCTCCAGCTTTGACTCAGAAATAACGTTTGGCCGGAGAGTAATGTCTTCTCCTGAGGATTGAGGGCTCACCTCCCAAGGCCTCTCAGAGAAGTTGTAGTTGAGGCAACAAGTGAGAGGATATTGCCTTGTCCATCTAGACAAGAAGGCAGCCATGTTCATTGAGTTCCTTCTATGAACTGAATACTCAGGTGCAACTTTCTCTTTTAATCCTCACCATAGTTCTGGGAGCCAGTACTGTTAGGAATCCCATTTTCTAGATGAGAAAACTAAGGTTTGGAATGGTGGAGTCCATTGTCCACAGCTCCAGATCAGCAAATGATGGACCCCTGGTTGGATGGCCCCCACAGTACAAGGTAGAACCGGTGACCCTTTCCCTCTAGCTCTCCTTTCAACGTGGACCAAACCTGAATTTGAAGGATGAGCCTCTGGTAGCGGGACCTCTGACCTTAGCCACCAGTTGCAGAGAAGATTCAAAGTCATTACTGTGCTGAGGCAGCTCCCACAGGCTCACGAGAGCCAGTTATACAACATCTGGGAGGCATCTAGCAAACATTCATGAAATTAACCAATTCTGCATTTGCAGATGAGTTGGTAGCTTGAAGTTAGTCATGGTGGAAATATGTACATGGTGACAAATGCTACAAATCAAAGCTTCCTCTACTTCTTGCATGTGCCCCCCACTACCACCACCACTGAGAGCTGGTTATGAGAACTTCACTGGCATACCCCTGATCAGGACCCCATGAAGCCTGACCCAATCCTGCCCCTGTCACTATGTCCCCGTCTGTGTCTCCCATCCCCTTTCCCCCTCCACCTGCCACATCATCCCATGGCTGCCCTCCTCTCCCACCAAGAACACTTGAGGACAGGGTCACACATAGGTCCCCTCTCATGTGTGCATGGACGGCCAAACTGAGTGTGCTGCTCACAGTGCAGCTGTGACCTGTGAACAAGTAAACAAGATCAAATGTGACCCTGAAAAGGCCATACCAGCCTTCAAAATGTAAAACCAAGAATAACATTTGAAATCACTTCCAGTGAATAAAAATTATGCTGGCTTCCTTACAATTTGGAAATCATATCCTTTAAAATGCAACCTAAATTCTTCATTCCCAGAAAGCTACCCAGGCCACTAGCCTGGCATAACCCCTGCCTCAGCCCCCAAGCACTCACAGAAGGTCACTCCTCAGCCTTGGCAGCGACCTTATTGAGCAGAATCCCCTTTAGAGAATTGCTGGCCTCCTCTGCTACACTGGGGACATCCAGGGGTTGGAACTCACCAGCACAGGGCTGGCAATTGAGAGGCAGTCAACAAATGACTGTGGATCTCATCGGTACTGTCACCTCTCTTCATCCCTTCTTCTCTCGCCTCATTTGTCACTTGACTGGTTTTCTGCCTTCCCTTACTGGTGCCCTGAACACAGCAGAGCCAAGACCCTCCTTCTGTGGGTCATTTCCCCAGCCTGGACCAGCCCTACCACAGCGGCCTTGGGAGCCCCTAGCCATGGAGCACATCCGGCCCACTGATTCCACTCCAGCTATGTTCAAGTGCTATATCCAGTTGGCACAGCCTCCCTAGAGCAGTATCACCAGAGGTGCCCTCTGGCTACCCCCAGCTTCCTCCCTCCGGAGCTCCTAACTGCGCTGGTAGGACTGGGATAGAGACAGAGTCCAAGGCCTGGATTCTACCCTGGCTCAGCTTGGAATGAACCCTCTGTGCCTATAACTCTGGTTTTCCCATTCCGCATTCCTGGCCTAGCTGTGGCTGGGAAAGTTGGAGCAAGGGGTTATGAAGTGACTCACACTCTGACCACAGGGTCTGGCTGCAGAAAGCACTCTGGCCTGAGGACACAGGTATAAGAAAACTTGCCTTTGGGGGAACTGGTAATGTCGATGGGATCATTCCAGTTTCCTCCTCCTGGATTTGGGAAAACAGCAGATATTAATAACAACAACAGTAACAAATACCCACTTACACAGCACTTCCGTTGGGCCAGACTCTATTCTCAGAAATCAGCATGTATCCATTCATTTCATCCTCCCAATACAACTGGGAGGCAGGTACTATTATTATCTCGATTCTACATATAAGGAAATGGAGCCACAGAGAGGCTAAGGAACTTGTCCATGGCCACACAGCTAGTCCACTATGGACATAGAGTCCACTATGGAAAGCATTGCATTTAGACTCATTGTGATGCACAAAACACCATGAAAACAATAGTTACTGGTCGTGACGTTTACACGGGGCTCCTTACTTCTCCAGACTTTTTTATATCCTGGCTCTCATTAAGTCCTCCTGGCTCCCTTGTGACAAGGCTGGTTTCACAGAAAGCCCAGAGCCACACCGCAAGTCAGGCAGAGCTGACCTCCGCGCCCTGAATCCCTGAGTCGTGGACCACTGTACATTCTCCTTCTTTCTTTACTTCTTTAACGTGTATTTTACATGATTACAAAAATAATATGTGCCCAATGTAAAATGTGGAAATGTAAGAGAAAAATAGAAGAGAGGCTAACTGCCTCCAGGAATAATCTCTGGGAATATTTTGGTATATCTTGTCTGTTTCCATGCCCATGGCTCTATCCGCTTTACTAAACCTCCCCGGATTTGTAGAATCACAGAGAGCCTGGCTGGAAGAGAGTGGCCCTGTCTGGTGCCCTGCAGGGCGTGAGACTGCAGATAGACTCCCTGCCTCCCACTCCCTGGGATCTATGAGGCCCTCCTGCTCCCCATGCTCTCTGGGACCCCACATTATTCAATGTTTCCTGGCCCTTATCAGGGAATAGGGATGTTGGTGACATTGATAAACTCACAGGGCAACCCCTCCTCTCAAAGCTTACTTCAGTTAATAAAAGCTCAGCAAGTTTAGAGCCCCACTCTTTAAGGAGCTGCTGCTGCAAAAGAAGGTACATGTTTCCCGAATCAATTTTGCTTTTTTCTCCTTTGTCTCTCTCTTGTTGCTTGTGTTTATATTCCAGCATTATGCTTGGTTCAAGATGAAACACAATCACCACCTCCACTACCCCCAGGGAGGGTGGCACAATCAGCATGGTGCAGCAGGGAATAGACAAAAGAGATTGGTCTACTTCTTAATGGCTGAGTAACCCTGGGCAAATTACTTAACCTCTCTGAGCCTTAGTTTTCTCACCTATAAAATATCTCCTTCCTGGAGTTTTTATAATAATTGAGTGCCTGACACATAATTATTGGTTCCCTTCCAGGCCCCAAAATGACGCTTGGCTTAGCCTAAGAGGGATAAGAGGAAATTCTGAGACTGTTTGGGGCAGGAGGGGGCTGGGAACTTGGGTGAGAGGTAACAAGAGAGGACAAGGGGGCATAAGGAGAAAGAGCTGACATGCACAAAAGAAGACCACAGAGCTGGGGAACCTCAGCCCTGGTAGGAGGCCCTTAAAGACTTTCTCATCTGTCTCAGCTGTGGAAATAAAGACCCAGAGACAAAAGGGAATGCCTGAAATCACACAGCCATGTCTTAAACCAACTCTCAGGGACTTTCAGAATCCACGAATGGCTGGAGCCTAACGGGAAGGAACCAGCAAAATGCCTTCTTCCCTAGTACTAAGGCGTTTGCTCCAAGAGTTGTCCTAGAGAGAAAGTTCCACACTGACCCGTTAGTACTTCCCTCTCCCCACACCTGTGGCCACTCTCCAAGCCCCTGCATGCAGTCTCTCCCTGCACCCCTGGGTAGGGTCCACCCCTTTCCAACAGTGACCATAACCTACCAGAGCCAGACCACCTTGCCTGGGGATGTCCAACCTTACCCAGAAGGAGAGCAGCAGCGCCTGGGTCCTTCTTCCTCAGGGCAGTGCAGAGAGAGTGTGAATCTCCTCTCTGGACAGTGCCCGGCACACATCCTGTTCTGAGGCTGGAACAAAGCATCCCTTTGGGCCTGCCCCTGCCCCGCCTCAGCTGCAGAGCCATAAGCTGTTTTCCTCATTTGAAATGAGTCAAGCTCAAATGACCGCCCCCTCCTGAAGGAGCAACTCCCCCCACCCAAAGACAGTCTAATGCCTTTGGAAAACACGTGTCCCCAACCACACCTCTCTGGACCATTTCCCCAGCAGCAGAGCCAAGGAGATGATGAGCAGCCCTGTCCAGATCTCCAGGCCTTTGCTAGGCAGCTTTTCCCAACCTCCAGCTGCATCGATTTCAGACACCTCTCTAGCACCTTCCTACCCCATCCTGCCCCTCATCTCCTCTGGTCATAACTCCCAGCAAGCAGTGCTGCATCGCCCCCCCCGCCCAAAGCATCAGCAATATTTTCATCTCCTAGACTTTCCAACCCATTTTCTCTCTCCCCTCCACTCTTCTCCCTCTGCCTATTTACTTGTCTGCTCTCCTACCAGGTCCAGGACTCCCAGGGCAAGGACCATGCCTGACCCACCAGCCTAAGCCTAAGGCCAGAAAGAGCAGAGACTGACTGAATATGTGTGTGTGACATTCTGCCTGCCACATGCTTGCCAATACGAAGGTACCTCTTTGCCAGGACAGCACCTGTGGCCCAGGGATGATGTCTCAGCAATTCTCACCTCCAGCCCCCTGCAGCCTGATACACAGCAGGCGCTTGGTGAATGCCCATTGTCTCTACTTGAATTAAGCAGTGACAGAATAATGCCAAGTGGTCACAGGCACTGGCATTGGAGTCAACACAGTGCTGGGCTTGAATCTGGCTCTGTGTGTACCTGCTGTGTGATCTAGAGATGGTGGCTTCACCTCTCTGAGCCTTGTTATTCAGATATCTACTGAGGGTGGGGATGCTGCCTTCCTCAGACAGTTATGATGAGAACTGAATGTCCCCAGAGAGGTGGACATGGACTTAAAGATTTTTCTTTCCCTGGGGTCCATGGGCCACCTAGAATGGAGGCCAGGCTATGATGGGTTCTCACTCCAACAGAAGGGAGCAGGGGACTTTTCAAGTGGGGCGTCTCCAAGTGTCTCTCTCCAGGCTAAATGCTGATTACCAATGGGACAATGAGGAGTGGGGAAATACCCAACAGATGCCACAGAGCCCTGGTTGCATCCCAGGGATGGATAACCTTTAAAGACTGGCTTATTTTCATTCTGTATAATTCTCTTGAGAAAATTAGAACAGCTAAGTTCTATAATGTAGGCTCCTTCCTCATCCTCCCCTTCTTCAAACCTTTTATTTTAAAATAATTTTTCGGGGCGCCTGAGTGGCTTAGTCGGTTAAGCGTCCGACTTTCGCTTGGGTCATGATCTCGCGGTTCGTGGGTTCGAGCCCCGCGTCCAGCTCTGTGCTGACTGCCAGCTCGGAGACTGGAGCCTGTTTCAGTCTGTGACTCCCTCTCTCTCTGACCCTCCCCTGCTCACGCTGTCTCTCTCTCTCTCCTAGAAATAAATAAAACATTTAAAAAAAATTTTTTTTAAAAATAAAATAAAATAAAAAATAAAATAATTTTTCAATTTGCAAAATTAGTGCACAAAATTCCTATATGCCTGTCAGTCAGCTTCCCCTGATGTTAAGCACAGAACCACAGCATAATGATCCAAAGTAAGAAGCTAACATTGACACAATACCATTCACTAATCTACAGATCTTATTCAAATGTCACCAACTGTCCCATTAATGTCCTTTCTCTGCTCCAAGATCTGAAGCAGACTCCTACATTGCTTTTTGGTTATTATGGCTCCTTAGTCTCCCCATTTCTAGGGCAGTTCCTCAGTCTTGCTTTGTCTTTCATGACCTTGATAGTTTTGAAGAGAACCGTAGAACGTCCCTAACTTTAGGTTTGATGCTTCTTCAAGATTAAATTATGGCTATGCATTTTAGGCAGGAACACCACAGAAGTGATGTTGTGTCCTTCTCAGTGCATTATACCAGAAGTGCATGTTTTCAATATGTCTCATTACTGGCAATGTTAACTTTAATCACCTGGTAAGACCATGTCTGCAGGCTTTCCACTGTGAAATTACTATTTATCTCTTTGTAATTAAGAAGGGTCTTGTAGAAGAAACTCATTTTAGACGGGAAGATACCTTCAGATTAAAAGTAAGGGGATGGAGAAATATATATCATGCTACAGGAAATCAAAAGAAAGCCGGAGTAGCTATACTTATATCAGACAAACTGGACTTTAAATAAAAGACAATAACAAGAGATGAAGAAGGGTACTACATAATAATTACAGGGTCCATCCATCAGGAAGAACTAACAATCATAAATGTCTACGCACCGAATATGG